AGACAGTTTCTGTTGGAGATCACCTGAATGTTCACTAAAGAACAAAAAACTAAAAACCAACTTATTGATATATAGTCAATGTTGCCAACCGTGACAAAGTATAAGCCCTTAAAAAATACCCAGTAAACTTAAAAAGAAAATACTGTGCAATGCAGGTGGGGATTTAGCTCAATGTTAGACAATTTGTATGGCACACAAGAAAGTCCTGGGTTTGATCCCCAGCAGCGCCGCGCACACGCACATGCACACACACCCCAATAAAATTAACGCACAACACTATTTCTAATTTTCTAAACATCATGGGAGAGAGAAAATCTACAAGTTCTCACCTTTTTTTGGACTTCGTAACTCAAAATGCTGATGTTTTACAGATTCATTTTAATGAACTCTGTCTAGGTTATCTCTAAAAATACTAATTCTAAATTATTCTATCAATGTTCTAATTCCTTCTAATCCCACAGGTACTTGTACATTATTTTCACCAAAAGTCTTCAACTGTACTTACTACATTTGAAGAATAGCAATCGTCAACTTTCCCCAGCTTACCAGGAATAGCATACTTTTCTCTGTAGAAACTACATTGATAAGGTTCATTCTAAGTGAACACTACTTGTAATACAAAACAAGCTGTTCTGCACAGCAAAACAAAAATGAGTTAAAAATCTTATCAAAATGAACAGTATCAGAAGAATCTGAACACCATATAACAAAATTAGTATACTTAATTTATATTATAATAGAAATTCAAATCAACTTAATTTTACACTAGAAAAGCTTTTTGTCTTTAAATTCTCTAAAACTGTGGAAAATGTATTAGTCCGCTTTTCTACCAAAGAACTTACAGAATACTAAACTGTATATTGTAGTAACAACAACATCACCCTATTGCTTATACTCTGACTTTTAGTATAATCCTTAAAAGATATTTAAATGAAATTGCAGATTTTATTTTTATTTCTAAGATGCAGATAATTTTTCTCATGTCCGAACTATCAAAATCCCTCTTCAAAGATACAACAGGGCTGGGGTGAGCTCAGTGGTAGAGTACTTGCTTAGCGTGCATGAGGCTGTGGGTCCCTCCCCAGTACTGGGGGAATAAAAGAAAGAGAGAGAGAGAGATTTTTAAAAAGACAACTGGAGGGCTGGGATTGTAGCTCAGTGGTTGAGCGCTTGCCTCACATACGTGAGTCACTGGGTTCGATCCTCAGACCCACATTAAAAAAAATAAACAAATAAAACAAAGATATTGGGCTGGGGTTGTGGCTCAGCGGTAGAGCACTCGCCTAGCATGAAGGAGGCCCTGGGTTCGATCCTCAGCACCACATAAAATAAATAAATAAATAAACAAGATAAAGGTATTGTGTTTAACCAAAAAAAAAAAAAAGATATTGTGCCCATCTACAACTAAAAAAATGTTAAAAAAAAAAAGACAACTGGAGAGCCACAATGATGTTTTTAAAATATTAGGAGGGCTGAGGATGTGGCTCAAGCGGTAGCGCGCTCGCCTGGCATGCATGCGGCCCGGGTTCGATCCTCAGCACCACATACAAAGATGTTGTGTCCGCCGAAAACTAAAAAATAAATATTTAAAAAAATAATAATAAGTATACATAATCATAAACCCACACACTGTGCAAACCCAAAGCACATGTTGGATACTTGATATTCAAATACAGATTTTTTTTTTTAAAGCGAGAGAGAGAATTTTTTTTAATATTTATTTTTCAGTTCTTGGAAGACACAACATCTTTGTTTATATGTGGCGCTGAGGATCGAACCCGGGCCGCACGCATGCCAGGCAAGCGCGCTACCGCTTGAGCCACATCCCCAGCCCTCAAATACAGATTTTTGAAAACGTGTTGCTTTCTTTGTTGAGCAAGAACATAACCACAGTTCTAAAGTTATTTGATAGACAAAATACATCAGTAACCTAGAACAGTACAGGCAAAAATACATCAATAACCTAGAACGGTGCAGGCAATAAGTGTGACATAAAAGTAAGCACTAAATAATTTATCAAAAATAGACATCTTTTTTTCTAATAAATAAAATCTAGCTTAAAAAAGAGAGATAAACTTTATAAGATACTTCAAGAAGATAATTCTCAATTATACAGAGAAGGAACAGGGTATGACAACTACATCTTCTAAAAAGCCAATATATCCAGAGGCAACCTTATAACCTCTGTTCTACACTCAACAGGTATTCATGTTTCCCCACACCATGTTTGGGAAACCAAATGATTTTGTTTTTAAAGAATTTACCTTTATTTTTAAGTTATTTGATTTTTTTTTTTTTTTAATATAGTACTGAGGATCAAACCCAGTGCCTCACCCATGCTAGGCAAGCACTCTACCACTGAGCTACAAACCCATCCCAGGAAACTACATTTTAAAAAGTTACTAGGGCTGAGGATGTGGCTCAAGCGGTGGCGTGCTTGCCCCGCGTGCCCAGGGCGCTGGGTTCGATCCTCAGCACCACATGCAAATAAAATAAAGATGTTGTGTCCACCGAAAACTAAAAAAAAAAAAAAAAAAATTAAAAAAAGTTACTAGCAAATTAAATTATATGTTATTGATGCTATTTTTCAATTCTTTAATTAATAACCAGTTTAAATACTTTACGTAAGTACACAAAATAATTATGGGAAAAATGAACTACTTTCGCTTCTTAACTAATAAGAGGAGTAATTTTCCTTAGGGTGTTTAAAGATCTCAAATTACCTTCATCCTGTTACCACACAATTTCCTTTCATGTGTGAAAGGCTGCCTTAAGATGGTCTCTGCATAAGCTTTTCTTTATTAAGCTTGCTCTAACTACACCACAACAGCTGTTTGATAAATAAAGGTTTGAGCCTTTTTAACAGCATCTATCTGGACAAGTTACTTATAGACCACATATCTGAACAAATAGAGGGAGAAAATAGGGAAATACTCCAGATCCCTAACTGTGAACCAGAGGATCAGTTACTTACTTCTCATTCAAGCTTATATTAAAAACTTTAAAAATATATATTTCACAATTCTTAACCAGATCAAACCCTGAAATTATAGATACAATTATAAATAGAAAGTCTAAATACCAGAAAGCCAGTAATAAACCACAAAATTCAGAGGCAATAATCACAAACTGAGGGTAACAGGAAAAAGGAATAATGCTGGAATAATACTTACCACATAGACTAGTGATAACTTTTCTTTCAGAAAATGTTCCAAGTCAGTAAATGCTTTTTGAGATAGTATGCCTTTTTAAAAAAATTTTAAGACAAGGTCTTACTAAGTTGCTGAGAGTGCTCACAAATATGTAATCCTCCTGCCTCAGTTGCCTGAGTCACTGAGATTACAGGTGTGCTTCACCATGCCTGGAGAGATTTTATGTCTTTTTTGATAGTCTTACCAGATGTTTTCTTTCTTTCCTTTTTTTCTTGTTACCTGTTGCCTTCTTCCTTATAATTTATTAAAGGCCAGGAAACCATTAAAACACGTGAGCATTGTATCTAACATATGAGTAAATTAGTACTAAAGTGATCTTCTCTACATTAAAATGAATTAGGGTGGTAACAATGACATTTCTATTTGGTGGTTCAGATGCTTCAGTATTCTAATTATGTTCCGAGTAACTGAAAATGGTAGATAAAATCTCCATTGCACAGTGAATTTGCTTGGAGGGGAATGGAGGGGAGGAAAAAATAAATAAGTTACAGAACAACACACAGATGGAATGTGGTCCGGCTACAAAACAAAATGTGTGTATAAAATATAAATCTACGTAAATACATAGAAAGAGGTCTGGATAGGAAATCTCCAAACCCTTGACTATCCTCTAAAACAGGAGTGGAATTTAAAGGGGAATGGGGCAGGAAGAGTTTTGCTTTTCGTGATTCTGTATTCATTGTGAACATGAATCTTATGTAACCAAAACTTGGTTTAAATTTTTGCCAGATGTGGTGATATGCCTTTGGAATCCCAGCTATTCTGGAGAAAGAGGCAGGGGGATCCCAAGTTTGAGATCAGCCTGGGCAACTAAGTGAAATCCTGTCTCAAGATAAAATAAAAAAGGCAGGTAGAAAGCTTGCCTAGCATTTGTGAGGTCCTGGTTCAATCCCCAGTACCACAAAATGAATGAATGAATGAATGAACGAATAAATAAATAAATAAATAGATTGTCTTTTAAAAGTCTTAAATGGCCGATTAGTGACCCCTGAATTAAATATGACATTAGTCTTGGAATGCAATGGGTTTCTCTCCTATTAACTAGATTTACTGACCTTATTTGTTTTATTTGATTTTATAATATGTACATATGGAGCAGGTGGCAGGTAAGTAGTCTAGAATAAGGTAAACTCTAAAAGGAAGTCCACTGGAAATGGGTTCATAAATAATTAAAATAATCCACATAGAATAAAAATTTAACTGTTTTTCATAGATTTTTAATGCTAGTAAGTTAGAAATCACATATATTCAAGTTATGACAATGGCTCACCACACACTAACTCTTGAGTAAAATCCTCTTTATATTGCTGCTAAACCTAACCTTTGCATAGTATGAGACTAGGGACATGTAAAAATTCCATTAATCTTAAACAATATGACTTAACAAAAAAGTTAATACAATAATGTCAAATGATATAGGATGACATTCTTTTTTGGGAGGCTGGTGAGTGAGGTACTAGGGATTGAACTCAGGGGCACTCAACCTGAGCCACATCCCCAGCCTTATTTTGTATTGTATTTAGGGACAGGGTCTCACTGAGTTTAGTGCCTCGCTTTTGCTGAGGCCGGCTTTGAACTTACAATCTTCTGCCTCAGCCTCCCAAGCCACTGAAACTCCAGGTGTGTGCCACCATGCCTGGCTAGGATGGTATTCTGATCAAAACTTAACCATTATTCAGGGAATAAAATACATTTCATATTTCTTAGTTTCCCAATGATGCTGTTTATCCAGTCTCCAAACTTCAAATGCAAAACATTGAAGTCAAAAACAATAAAAAAGAGGTTGGGCGGCAACGGAAAGATGGCGGACGTGGCCGTGGGCAAGGACAAGTGCGGGGAGCAGCGGCTCGTGTCGCTGCCCCTGTCCCGCATCCGGGTCATCATGAAGAGCTCCCCCGAGGTGTCCAGCATCAACCAGGAAGCACTGGTGCTCACGGCCAAAGCCACGGAGCTCTTTGTTCAGTACCTAGCCACCTATTCCTACAGACATGGCAGTGGAAAAGAAAAGAAAGCACTGACTTACAATGACTTAGCGAATACTGCAGAGGAATCGGACACTTTTCAGTTTCTTGCAGATATATTACCAAAGAAGATTTTAGCTAGTAAGTACCTGAAAATGCTTAAAGAGAAGAAGGAGGAGGATGAGGACGATGAAGGAAGTGACGATGATGAAGCGGAGTCCTAGACCAAGGAAGAAGGCTTCTAGAAATCACCTGGCCAGGACCCTCCTTGGTGACCCTCTTGCTCTGAAGCAATCAAATCACCATGTGGCTTTGGTTTCCCTTTCCAGAAATTTCCAGTACAGCATATTCCTTCATGACTAAAACTGATCATCTCCTGCATCTACACCATGAAGAGCTGAAGGGAAAATAGTGCAACTGCGGTCTGACAGGCCACCCTGCAGCTGAAACCACTGTCCTTTCCTTTGAACTTGCAGACAGATTCTGACAAGCTTCTGGATTAGCTGTGGATTTATGATTTATATTCTGAAATTCTTATAAGAACTGGATTTAGTTTCAGCTAAATATGTAGTTTATAGTCATATGCTTCCTTTCAGTTATGTATTTTTATAAAATTTGACTATGTGTTCAAATTTTATTTTTTTATTGTAAAGATACTTTTTCTTTTCTATTAAGGTCTGTACATATTTTTACAGTAATGTGCTTTGTGGAACTAGTTTTAGGACTCATTTGTTCTAATCCTTTGCTTACTACCTGAAAGTTTTGTAAAATTTAAAAGCAAGCAAAAAAAAAAAAAAAAAAAAAAAAAAAAAAATAAAAAAGAAACCATAAATGGAAAAAAGACAGGCATATATACATACTTTTTTTTAAAAGCAGCTTATTATATTTTCTTCCCTTAAACATCTCAAGTTTTAAATCACAAAAGAGCGTTCTCAAATACACTTAAGGCCTGTAATTTGATTTTGTTTATACTAATGAGATTCAGTGCAATTTAGTAGACTTTGAATTTCTCAAAGACTATTCTAGGAATACTAGAGGCTTATAGTATGCAATAATTCATAACATTGCTAAATATGAAATGTCCCAGCTGCAAGGCTGCTTTGTAGGAATGATATAGCTTACTAAAGAGAGAACTAGTTCATCCTAATTCATCTTTGTTATATTCTACCAGAGTTGCTGTGAATTTTACACATTTGAGATGCAAAAGATATCAATTTATCCCTTTGCAGTTGTTTATGGAGGTGGGGTACTAGAGATTGAACCCAGGGACTCACACATACTAGGCAATCACTGAGCTACATCCCCAGTTCTTTTTTATTTTATTTTCAAGACTGGGTCTCACTAAATTACCCAAGCTGGCCTCAAACTTGCAATCCTCTTGTCTTAGCCTCCTAAGAAGCTAGAATTGCAGGGTTTATCCTTTTAGAATGCTAAAAATCTACTGTACTTGTTACTAATGCAAACAGATTGTTCTATGCCACAAGACAGCATTCATTAACAAAAGATTACTATCAAATAAACTGACTGGGGGGGGCTTGGAGTTGTGGCTCAGTGGTAGAGCCTTGAAAGTGTGAGGCACTGGGTTCGATCCTTGTACCACATAAAAACAAATAAAGGCACTGAGTCCATTCCATACACAACTGAAAAATAAATAAATACAAATAAATAAATAAATAAACGGACAGGCACCATTGGTACTCAGCCCCCCTCCCCCATATGCAAATTTATGGAAGAGAGCCATTCCCATACCTGCCCTTCAGGTTTTCAAGTTCCCTGTGATGCAACATGCTCCGCATGTGTTCGTCCATCTCCTTCAAAATCAAAAAAAGCAGATTAAACTAAGGGGGATTGTTTTGGGGGAGGGAGGAAAAAAGACAAAATTCTGTGTCCTATGTAATCAACAATTGGGGATTCAGCTTCCTGTGTCAATGTTTCTTTTGTGTGTGACTACTCTTCTCAGATCACAGTTCTTCAGCTGTGCTTTTTCAAATATTTTCCTTTTTTTTGGCACTGAGGATTACTGAACCCAAAGGCATTCTGCCATTGAGCTACACCCTCAGCACCTTTTACTTTGGCATTTAGAGACAAAGTCTCATTAAGTTGCTAAGGCTGGCCTCAAACTTGAATCCTCCTACTTCAGCTTGCCAAATTGTTGGGATTGTAAGTGTGTGCCACTGTGTCCAGCAATATATTTAAGTAAAAGAAATTATTAGAAAAACATATTTAGATGGCTTTTTAAAATGATTAGAAAGTATTGCCTTCAGGAGGCAAAAAGACTTTTTTTTTTAATATTTATTTTTTAGTTGTAGTTGGACACAATACCTTTATTTTATTTATTTATTTTTTTATGTGGTGCTGAGGATCGAACCCACGGTCTTGCATGTGCGAGTAGAGCGCTCTGCCACTGAGCCACAACCCCAGCCCAGGAGGCAAAAGACTTTTAAGAATAAAATATGTAGGTTAATTCTATCCCTTTACAAAGAATTTACTAAAGTTTTGATTTTTGTTTTAATTCTTAAATCACTTAATATTCCAACTATTTGACTACTTTTGTCCACACTCTTTCTCTACTGAATATTTCAAGAGTAAGCTACAGTCTGATATGGTGGTGCGTGCCTGTAATCCCAGGGACTCTGGAGGCTGAAACAGGAACATCACAAGTTCAAGGCCAGCCTCAGCAACTCAGTGAGGTAACTAAACAATTTAGCAAGATTCTGTCTCAAAATACAAAATCACAAGGGCTACGGGATGTAACTTAGTGATAAAGTACCCCTGGGCTAAATCCCTAGTATTCCCGAAAGAGTAAGCTACAGCCAGGCTCCCAAGTTCAGAGCCAGTCTCAGTAGCTTAGTGAGGCCCTAAGTAGCTTAGCAAGACCCTGTCTCAAAATAGGAAAAAATAATAATAAAAAGGGTTGGGGATATGGCTCCATGGTTCAGTGAGACCGGGTTCAATCCTAGGTACCTTTCAAAAAAAAAAAAAAAGTACATAAAAGGTTAACAGGTTTATGGGACTGGGGCTGTGGCCTGGGTTCAATCCTCAGTACCACATAAAAAGAAAATAAAGGTGTTGTGTCCAACTACAACTAGAAAATAAGTATTAAAAAACAAAAAAGTTAACAGGTTTACACATAGTTTGTCAGACCTGGAATATGAGTGTCAATAAACATTTGTTGAATGAATATAAATGGCTATATCAATTATAGATGGGAATTACAAATATAACAGTCTCTTCTCTATAGCAGATCAGGAAGTTTTTTAAAAAAATACTTTGAATACAATAATTCAATTACTGCTTTACTTCACTGCACACTCATCCACTTCCCCAACTGATTTGGTTGGGTCTAATGAAAAGTTTGAACATTTACTATGTCCCCTCCCACTTCCCTTATCTCATCCTTAGAGGGAAGGAAATAAAATCTGTGAAAAAGTTGTCATTTAAAAACATGCACACCACACACAAAACACAAAGAGCTGTAAATGTCTATCCTTTTGTCACTTGAAAGTTTATATAGCCAGCATGTCATAATTAGAGAATAGCTATTTATATATACAAATAATAAAAGGCTACTACAATTTCTGAATATTACTGTTTATTATATTCTGTGATAAGTGCCCTAAACATTTTCTCATTTGAACAGCAAAATATTGCAGTTATAAACTTTCCAAGGACACAAGGATGCAGAGAAGTTAACTTCTTCATTTACCAGATTTTTATCAAGTGCTTATTATGTACCAAGTGGAGAGTGAGGGATTGAAGGGATAAATATGAAAAGATGGCCTCTCAGAGTTATAGATAACCAAGTAGTTAAACTGGAACTCCAACCCAGGCCGATCTGACACCAAGACAACATTTCAATGTTCCAAACACTGTGTTGGAATGAAAAACTCCAAGAATTTACAAAATCTTCAAGTCCCTATGCTTGCTGTTTTTCTTTAGATTCTTATCTATATTTTAAATTCCTTCAGTTAAATTTAAGTGGTTTTTCTAGCAACCAAGCCATTCCTGACCAAGACAATATTAAATGAAATGAGTTATTCTCTGATATAAAAACTAATTCTGTATTTATTACAAAAGTGTTATAATTAAAAACTAGTTGCAATGTGACTTTTGATTTTCTAGAACACTTCACTAATTTTTTCCAAATTTACATGCAAAATCCTCACCCATTCTGTTCCAAAAAATGAATACAAATAGTGAAGCAACCGAATATTCAAAATACCTGGACAAGACCCACAGGCTAGACTTAAGGTAAGAGCTCCAAATATATACTTTTTTGTATACCAGGCTTCTGTTTAGTTCCCTGCACATTAATCAGTGTTCTTTGTAAAGGACTGGGTATCATGGTTGAATAAATTCGGGAAATGCTGAAATAAAAAACTAAATACAGCTGGGTGTGGTGGTGCACACTGGTAATCTCAGTGACTTGAAAGGCTGATGCAGGAGGAGCCCAAGTTCCAGGCCACTCTCAGCAACTTAGCCAGGCCCTAAGCAACTCAGCGACCCTATCTCAAAATTTAAAAAAAAAAGAAGGGGAGGGGTTGGGGGAAGGGGCGCTGGCTGGAATGTAGCTCAGTGGTAAAGTGCTCCTGGATTCCATCTCTAGTGCCAAAAAAATAATAACAAAAATAAATGAATAGATACATATTTTTAACTTAATAGCTTCTTGGTTTTTTATATAAGTTAATGGGCATGAGGATGCTCAGGGATTATATTATACAGCTTTTCCTTGCTCAAGTCACCCTAGAACCTTTTCTCCTCTAAAGTATATGTGGAGAAACCAGGATTACATTTGTTTGGGAAACTGGAGGAAAGCACTGTTTCAACACAAACTGTTCTTAGTCTATCTAAAAATAATTATTAGAGTCATCCCTTCCAACTAATCCATTGTTATTTTATACTATATTACTCACTAAAACCATACCATTCCCTTGTCTAACAACATAAAACTGGCTCTTCCTAAGACAAGAGGAGTAAGTAACTACAGTCCTTGATTTTTACTTCACTATGATCATGGCAAGTGTGAAGTGACAAGATAGGACTGCTACTCCAAGAAAATCTAATACCACACCTTTGAACACTGGCCTCTCTAGTCCCATCTCCCACCAATCTGAAAGTAGACATAAGGAACTTGGAAGTTTCATAAGTCCAGATCAAGTTTTAAATCTAAAAAAACCAATTATTTTACTTTTTAAAAAAATATTTGTTGTTTTTTGGTTGTAGCTGGACAAAATACCTCTATTTCGTTGGTTTTTATGTGGTGCTAAGGATAGAACCCAGGGCCCCACACATGCAAGGCAGGCGCTCTACAACTGAGCTAAGGCCCAGCCCCAATTATTTCACTTTTTAAAAGGTAGCAGATATATTATTAAATATGATTTTAAATCAATTAATTTTTTCCATCAGAAACTGAAATCTTCAATAGGGGTAAAAAACCTTCATTATAGCACATTTGATACTGTTTTCCAATTATCTTCACTTAAATTACAATCCCACTAATCCCAAAACAAAACTGTTTCAATCAAATAAGCTTTCTTACTGACACCTAGAACTGCCAACTCCATTCTACCTGGGTGTCTTTGTTCATGTTGTTTTTCACTTAACCTATCTCTTTTTCCATTTCACTTAAATTGCTTTACTCTTAGATTTCTTTCAAGGTGCATTACATGCAATCAGACTTTCTTGGCTAACCTAGCCCATGATCTTCACAGTTTTCTGAATTTCCAATAACAATCAAGAACATACCTGTAATCCCAGCAACTCGGGAGATTTTCTAGAACAAGGAGGCAGGAGGACCACAAATTCAAGCCTCAGTAACTTAGCAAAATCCTTACCAAAATTAAAAATAAAAAGGGCTAGGAATGTAGTGATAAAGTGATCCTGGGTATAATCCCTAGTACTGAGGTGGGGAATGAGGGGGCAGATAAGGTCTATTTTTCTTTGTGCAACATCCCCATCTTGTGGATGTCTAGGATATTGTTAGTACCATTTCTGCTATATTGCACTTTTCATAAGACTGGGCATAAACAGAAACCAGGTACATATGAAAAATGCCATATTTGCTAAGCATTTGTGCATTTAAAAGTATACAATTTTTAAATCTCAGAAAATAACAACCTCAAATAACCTGAATTTCTCTGTAAGTGGTTCCTAACTAAATTTCTCTATATCATTTACCTGTGAGTACATTCAAATTCTGGTAGAAGTTTAATAATACAGGTACTGACTTAATGAGATAGTACTGAGAAAGAAACCAGTGGCCTAAGACTATGGTTTAAGAAAGAAACTTGAATAAGACATTATTAAAAGCTTTTATCCATCTATTAATAAGACATCTCTGAAAAAATGATTAGCCATGTAGCCTCAATTCTCCCTCTGATTACCTTTTTTGAGCTGTATGCAATGTGGCACAATATGCATTTTCGTTCTCGTACCATAGTGACCAGATCTGAAGCACTCAACATCAAACCTGCAACGAAGAAGTTAACATTTAGTAACCTTTACCCCAGATACCTTCTTGAATTGATCTTAACATAGTCAAAATTACAAGTCATATCTTCCTCACCTCCGCCTTGCTTTTCTACCAGTCTTCCTGTCTCAACAGACAGAAATTCCAATTTTCCAGATGCCAATGGCCACAACTTTGTGAGTCACCCTTGATTGCTCTTTCTCATCCCATATCCACCCTTATCAGAAAATCCTGTCAACCCTACCTTGAAATATACCCTAATTCCTACCAGTTCTTACTACCTAGGACATTTATCATTTGCCACATGATGGTCAAGCCTACTGACTTGACTCCCTACTTCCACTCTGACCTCTTAGAGTCTATTTTCATACACATAGCCAAAGATTCTTGGAACAGGATTTTTTAAAATTTAAATAAGGTCATGTCATTCTTCTACCCAGAATTTTCCAATGGTTTACAGAAAATTATAAATTATAAGTCTTTGCTGTGGCTACCAATCTGTTTCTCACTTCCTCTCAAGCTTAAATGCCCTACCACTCTTCCTTTATCATTCCATTTCAGTCACAATGCCCTCCTTGCTATTCCTTGACCATACAAGGGATTCTCCCCACTTAAGGCTTCCACATTTCTTTTTCTCTTTGCTGGGAATATTCTTCCTTAAAATGACCTATGTTTCTTATGGGCCTACTATATCATTTCCATAAGATATTAAAATGCTGCCTCATTGGGGAGGCCTTCCTTGAACCCCTATATGGTATTGCATATGCTGTCCCTCCTCCCCTATTTCTCTATTAACCTGCTTAATTGACCACGTTTTGACCATCTGTGGAAACATGGTCAACACTTAGTTGACCATGTTTCCACAGATGCTCAAAACAATATCTCTTACAATGTGTTCTTTTGCAATGTGATTTTGTCACCACCTAGCCAAAAAGTAGAGTATTTCCCTCCTCACTGTGAACTAGTACGACTAATAAAATGTAGTGAAGGTGATACTATATAACTTCTAAGGTTGGGCTTTCCAAAATCTGCAGCTTCTGCCTTTGTCCACTTGTAATAGTCCCTTTTGGAACCTACCTACAATGCTGTAAAAAGCCAAGCCACAGGGAGAGGCCAAGTGGAAAAGAACTGAAATGCAACAGAGTACAACAATAGTCAAGACCAAGTGACAGTTATAAGTAAGCTGTTTTGGGGTTCCCAAGTACAGCCATCAAAGACAAACTCCAAGCAAGATCAGGAAGACCAATAGTTGAATGCTTTTCAACCCACAGAATTATAAGAAACAATGAAAAAGTTGTTTAAAACCAGTAAATTTATTATGCAGCAAGAAATATCTGAAACAAGGACCTTTTGTTACTTATTTTCCCAATTACAACTTAAGTTCCACGAGAATAAGAACTTCACATATTTTTAATTTTTTTTTTAAGTTGTAGATAAACACAGTATCTTTATTTATTTTCATGTTGGTGCTGAGGATGTGAGGCAGGTGCTTTACCACTGAGCTACAGCCCCAGCCTGAACTTCACATATTTTGATCACTAAGTATAGTTACAACGCTTGGGACAGAAACTGGCACGCTGAAGGCAATCTGTTTAACTTTTTGTTGAATTGTTCCAAATGGAACTATCTTAGGTTATAAACACAAGATGAAGAGAGCTGGGTTTAGAGTAAGACACAAAGGTTTTCAACTGTACAATCCTCTAGCACTAACATACTCAGCTTTTGAGTTCAACACTCCACCTAAGATTTTAAGTCCACTCTACAAGAAGCATTCTTTTTTTCCTCTACACAACAACACCAAGCTCTAACAGATATATCTACTTGCAGTTCATTCCTTACATGCAGTTCATTCTTTAGAAAATCTTAAAACCATGACAAAAGAAGGTTATATGTCAACCTAACTGCTAGACAATAGCAGAAAGACCAATAAAAGATGCCTAAGGTTTTCCATGTCTCTGGTGATTTAACATTTTTCTTGCTGTTGCAACCTACTGTAACATTGAGCATCTAATATTATTTTTTATTTAAAAGCACTGTTCTTTTTTATTGTTCTTTTCAGACAATAAAATTCTGACATATTATACATACATGAAATATAACTTATTCTAATTAGGATGCAATTCTTGGGGTTGAACATGATGTGGAGTTACACTGGTCATGTATTCACATATGAACATAGGAAAGTTATGTCCAATTCATTCTACCATCTTTCCTATACTAAATTAATTTTAAATAATAAGGTTCAACACTTGAATAAGATTATGGAGTAGCTAGGCATAATGGCTCCTGTAATCCCAACCAATTTAAGAAGCTAAGGCAGGAGGATCACCAGTTTGAGGCCAGCCTGGGCAACTCAGTGAAACACTGTCTCAAAATAAAAAATAAAAAAGGCTGGGGATATAGTTCCGTGGTATAGTGTCCCTGAGTTCAATCCCTAGTGCCCTCCCATCAAAAAACAAGATTACAGGGTAGGAATCTGGACATTTGAGAAAGATGAATATCAATTAGCTACCAAAACAAAGATATACTCCTTAATGGATAGGTATAATATTATTTATACTTTCAGGATTACTAAAAAATCTCCTAAACCTTAAAATTAACCTAACTCACTCTAGTATTGTTGTAGCATGTTTATTCTTCTAAATTTCTTATGTCTTAACATTTACTTAAAGTTTACTACTTGTATGAAATATTTTGTTATTTCATCCAATAAACATTTATTGAACACCCAGGACTAATCTAGGAGTTCAGTAAACTGATGAAGAGATAGGTCAAGAAATATTTTTATTTATTTATTTATTTATTTTTAGAGGGGGGGGGAGAGAGAGAATTTTTTTAATATTTATTTTTTAGTTTTCGGCGGACACAACATCTTTGTTTGTATGTGGTGCTGAGGATCGAACCTGGGCCGCACGCATGCCAAGGGAGCGCGCTACCGCTTGAGCCACATCCCCAGACAGGTCCAGAAATATTTTAAATTCTGCCTCAAGAAACTAACCATCAAAGCAAAATAGAAGCAAACAAACAAAAAAAAAAAACCTCAAGAAGCAATAAAGTCAACAAAAAGGTATGAACTTTTTTTTTTTTTTGATGGTGGTGCTGACGACTGAACCTAGGGCCTTATGCATGCCAGGAAAGTACACTACCACTGAACTACATACCCAGCCCCCAAAGTCTGACTTTCTGACACAAGCAACAGTACTGTTATTTTTTTTATATTTTTACTCAGCTGAAAACTAAGCACTAAATTCAGACTGTGGCTAGGAGTGGTGGTATATACCTATAATCCCAGTGACTTGGGAGGCTGAGACAAGAGGATCACAAGTTTGAGGCCAGCTTCAGCAACTTATTAAGGCCCCAAGCAACTTAGAGGAAGCTTGTGTCAAAAAATAAAAAAGGCTGGGGATGTAGTCCAGTGGTAAAGCCCTCCTGGGTTCAATCCCCAGTACCCTTCTCCCAATCAAGAAAAAGAAAACCTACTGCTATTTTAAAAAGCCGACGATGTCAACCTCTAATAAATGAAGAAATAAATCTATATGGGCTGGGGGCTGAAGTTGTGGCTCAGTGGTAGAGCACTTGCCTCACAAGTGTGAGACACTGGGTTCAATCCTAGCACCACATAAAAACAAATAAATGGGGCTAGAGTTGTGACTCAGCGGTAGAGTGCTCGCCTCGCACATGTGACACTCTGGGTTCAATCCTCATCACCACATAAAAATAAATAAGTGAAATAAAGGTATTGTGTCCAACTACAACTAAAAAATAAATATTAAAAAAATTCAAAAACTAAAAAACAACAAAAGCACTGAGTCCATATACAACTAGAAAAAAAATAAAACAAAAACAAAGCTATATATATGGGCTGGGAATGTAGCTTGATGGTAAAGTGTATGCTTAGCATGTGTGAGGACCTGGGTTCAATCTGTAGCACCAAATAAATAAATAAAAGCTATATAATAAAAATACTCTGTAGATCAATTTCTTATATTCATTTTTACTTTCTCAGAAAGTGAAAAAGTATGCTAGCAATTTGATTAATAAGGAAAATATAGTATATATATTGGGTTGATCTGACAGGAACTTCAATTTGTAGGTCCTTAAACTAGGTTAAACATAATTCCATTAAGTTTTCTGAAATAATTATATTAGCTCACAACCTTCTAGATATGAACCATTACTCTTTAAAGGCTTTAACAAAGATTAGAAGCCAAAGAAGCAATCATCCTGCCCGGTAATCTCAACCAAGGTGATTGAGAGGTTCCATAATGCAAGTCAACTAAGTATATAAGCAATCCAACTACTGCCATCCTCACTTTAACCACCTTACATCTCCTGCCCATATCAATTAAATTTACCTCATGAAATCTTTTGTTTCTCCAAATGAGAAATATATGACATTTTTCAGATCCAATACCCTAAAAACCTTATAATCACTGTTTCTCCATGTTTTAATTACTATTATTAGTACCATTACCATTCGCCTAGGCAAAATTGTATATCATGTCAGATTCTTTTCTTTCAAACTCCCATACTTTCTTTCTTTTTTTTTTTTAATTGTCTTCAGGAGCATGTTTATTGTGTTTGAGATGATACATCAGTGCTCTCTGAGCTACAAAGGGTAAAAGGAAATCCTCTCATTACAAACTGACAAAGGTAAAAGGTAAAACATTTTCACAACAGCATGAACCACATACTCAGAAATAGATCTGGGTTTAATACAAATGACATAATTCCTAGTCATCTACGGCTACTTTTATAACTTCATACAGATAATGAATTAGGCTAAAATGCACTATAATATTTGGTAGACTTCAGGACCAGTATCCTTAGTACATCACAAAATACATTTTGATATCCCAAAGAAGCAAGACTTGCAAGTAGGCATTTTAAACATAACTAATCTACAGCTACAAAGTTCTACTCTTGATAGCATTTACCTTTTTGGGGAGTCTCCCAGTCTCCAAAGGATAAAGGCAGAGAGTAGAATCAGTATAACATATACACAGAAGTCCGTATTGTAAAGGCTATAAAGATTTGCAGCACAGTGAGAAGATGCCTTCTGCTCCTTCACACTGCATACAAATTATGTGAATTATGTTGCGTATCTCTTGGTCCACTGTCTGGCTATCCTGTCATGTTCTGCTCTGTTGGTCAAATACTGAGTGGCTATGTTTCCAACCAGAGGATCCGCAGGGTTGCAGTCTGTCAAAAGCGAACAAATAGACAGCAAAACCTTTGAAATAGTCAAAGCAGGACTCCAGTTGTCTTTAAGGATATCCCTGACTGTTGATGTTGCAGTGATAGATTCTCCTGCGGAAAGTAACCTTTGGTGGCTTAAATGGATAATCTGATGAAAACGTGATATCCAGAAAAAACACACCACCTTCATATACAGAACCTGGTGGACCAAGTATGGTTGATCTCCACTCATAAATATTATCTCCTTTAGGCCCAGCACTGCAGTTAGGAGGAGGATCAAGGGTTATTTCAGCTAGCTCCTTCTGAATTCTTTTAGCACTAGTGGATAACTTAGCAGTGGTTTTGATAGAGAGTTTGGTGTTCTTCTTCTGCTGGGTGGCAGAAGGTTTTCTTTCTTCTTGTTCTTCAGGCTCCGGAGCGGCCGGGTCTCGCTGGTCCGCATCTGAACTGCCACTGCTGGTGCTGGGGCTCTCATCATCGGACCTTTGCCTATCACTGGACATCTTGATGAAGTTATCGCTTGGAAAACCTGTTAATCGCCCATATGCTTATTTAAGGTGGAGATTCCTCCTCTATGCACGTAAAACCTTTAAACACAACACTCGGAAATTTAAAAATCAACTAACAAGCTGTCCTAGCCGTTTCCATGGCCAGCAGCGAAGATTCATCAGGCCAAGACCGAGCAGCCACCCTGGGAAAAGCAGAATCCAAACTGCACCTTCTGCAAAGCTCCCCATGCCACCAAGGTTCCTCGCTCAATTTTTACATCACGGACCGACATTTTGTCCAAAATAACGAAAAAGGGGGGAAAATCCCGAGGAAAAACAAACAAAGCCCTAAGAAGTGCAACAAATTTCCGCGGCGGCCACGCACCTCTGCGGCCTTTTGTGGGGAGGGCCGCGCGGGGGCCGTGGGCAGCGCTCACCGCGCCGGCCGCCAAGTGAAAACTCCCATACTTATGAGACCTTGTCTCAAAATTTTAAAAGGGGGTAGAAACATGGCTCAGTGGTAAAGAACCCTGAGTTCAATCTCCAGTACTGGGGGCATGTGTGGGGACAGGGTATGATTTACGTTGACCAGGAAGATAGTCTTTCAAGTAGCCATTATTTAATAAAACTGTAGTCTACTTCAAACATCAATACCTTCTAATATTTATTATATAACTCAGGGCTCAAAAAACACCTTTTGGTGTAGAAGAACTTCATTCAAAACATCATCATTTGGTTTTATTGTTAAAACAACCTGAGAAATAAGTTAAAAACAGGCTATTGGATGGTAGGTTTGTTTGATCTTGCTAACCTACTATGAGGAACGGATATAACTTTTTATATCTGTATAACATTCATACATTAAACCCAGTAGTGCTTAAGAAATTTAAATTTTGACAATTATACTCAACTTGGAATCTACATGACAGTAAACACTAAAAAAAGAAAAAAAGTTTATTGTTTTGGTTTCTTTGCAGGGAGGGTGGTAGGGTGAGTAGTACACTGAATATCATTTTCAAAAGTCTACAGGCAACTTTCTATCCTCCATTTAACTCTCAGAAAACTAATGGATTTCTGGTGAGCAAAACAGGGCATCAGGGAAACTTTTTGCCACCATCCCTGTATTGTCTAGAGATTATGGAACAAAGATATGACTGACATTTATGGGAGATACTCACTTTACTGAGTGGGTCTCACTAAAAATGTAGAAAGCTGAAAATTAAGGGGTCAGAAGTAGTTTGGGGCACATGAACTAAAAACCAGAATTTCAATTCTTACTCTTGGTAGCTATCCTATTTGCTAGTTCTAAGCCTCCTGACACCCCTTCCGAAGGAAAGTGATTGTTGTTTTCCTGTATCAATCTTTGATTGAACATAAACTTAACAGGCATTTTACAATTCTCCCTAACACTTAGCAGGAGTGTACGTATTGACCACTCTTTTATCAGTAAGCAAAGGAGTAAAAGGACAGGAAGTTAATGCTGTGACTCAGGAAAAGGCATTAATAGGTAGAAGTTCAGGGGCTAGGATTGTGGCTCAGTGGTAGAGCGCTCGGCTAGCATGTGCGAGACCCTGGGTTTGGTCCTCAGCACCACATAAAAATAAATAAATAAAATAAAGGTATTGTGTCCAACTACAACTAAAAAATAAAATATTTTAAAAAAATTTAAAAAGTAGGTAGAAGTTCAGCTTCCAGCAAATAATGCTGTTTGTAATGCCACCATCAAACAAGGAAATTGTCAAGGCAAAATCAAGAGTCTGATTCTTTAACTCAGAATTAGAACTAACGTCAGGTTCTATTTTCTTACTTAATTCTGGAACTTGGCAAACATTATGCCCCTCAGGGAAAAAAGAAAGAAAGAAGGTGGGATAAAATTGACCCTAACAATGGAATAAAAATGCTAGTACAAGTTATCATCAGAAAACAGAATAACCCATAAACTCCAAGATAGCATCTATATATACTTTTTTAAAAGTATAAATGGATAACTTATTGCATTTATTTAATAGCTGAAAGTTTACAATTCCTATCTTTCACAGAATCATATATATATATATATATATATATATATATGATTTCCCCAAGCACTCCCAGAAGTCTACACCATAATTCACAATTCCATAATCACTGCAAGCTAATGAATAAGCCTAGATGACCACAAATATTCTCAAAAAGCTCTGTTGTTCTCCTCTCATTGCTAAAAGTATATTTAATAATCTCATCCATTTTGTACATGTATAACCAAAATAGCTGGTGTTTTCATTATTTCTATTTTTATAAAAATCTTTTAAGTTCATGGTTGACAATATCATTGTATTGGTATAAATTGACACAAATGTAGGGCTGGTGATGAGGCTCAAGCGGTAGCGCGCTCGCCTGGCATGTGTGCGGCCCAGGTTCGATCCTCAACACCACATACAAAGAAAGATGTTGTGTCCGCCGAAAACTAAAAAATAAATATTAAAAAATTCTCTCACTCTCTCTTTAAAAAGAAAAAAAATGTGTGGTAACAAATGGGGAAGCTGGCTAATGGGTACACTAAGGATTGTTAAATAATCATCTTATATATATATATATGGATGAAAATTTCCAAAATGTTTTAGGGAAAAAAGGAAGGTGCTAAGTTTTGTGTGGTTGAGAATTGCTACTCTCCTTCCTACCTCAGAAATAGTCACAGTGCTATAAAAAAGGGACAGGATTTTAGGATAGCATTGCACAGTGAGGAACTCTGACCTAGTCTGGGAAATTAGGGAGTACTTCCCCAGGCAACTGACATTTGGACTGAGATATATGAGCGATGAGTGGTTAACTGGATCAAAATGGGTAACAGCATTCCAGGAAGAGGAGCAAGTATATAAAGAAGCCCTAATGTCTCAGGGAGGAACATGGTAGATCAGTACTAAAAATACCATTTTGCCTGGAGTACAAGGGAGGGTAACTCAAGTCTTTGTGGTAAAAATTAAAGAAAGAATCATATTGCTGGGTGTGACGGTGCATGCCTGTAATCCCAGCAGCTTGGGTGTCTGAGACAGGAGGATCGCAAGTTCAAAGCAGACTCGGCAACTTGGTGAGGTCCTTAAGCACCTTAGTGAGATATGTCACTAAATAAAATATAAAAAAGGGATGGGGATGTGGCTCAGTGGTTAAGCACCCCTGGTTTCAATCCCTGGTACCACAAACAAAAATCAAAAACATAATTTATCATAAAATAATAAACAAACATTTCAGTATATAAATGCTCTAGCATGACAGTATTTTAAGAAATAAAACTATGAACATGACAACTACAAAAACAGACTGAAATAACAGGTATATTATAGTGCTGATAAAAATACATCATGAGGGGCTGGGGTTGTGGCTCAGTGGTAGCACACTTGCCTGGCATGCATGAGGCACTGGGTTCGATTCTCAGCACCATATACAAATAAATAAAATAAAGGTCCATCAACAACTTTAAAATATTTAAAAAAAAAAATACATCATGAGGGGCTGTGGCTCAATGGTAGCACAACTGCCTGGCATGCGTGAGGCACTGGATTCGATTCTCAGCACCACATACAAATAAGTAAAATAAATAAAGGTCAATAACTAAAAAAAAATAAAAATAAAAATAAATCATCAATGCCATTGCTATCAGTGATACGATTTTTTCAAAATACTAAAGACCAGATCTTTTTTATGTTTTGTTTTGTTTTTTGGTACTGGGGATTGAAACCAGGGTCTCTTTACCACTGAGCTACATCCCCAACCCTATTTTGAAACAGGGTCTCACTAAATTGCAGGGCCTTGCTAAATTGCTGAGGCTGGCCTCAAATTTGCAATTCTCCTGCTTTAGCTTCCTGAGTTGCTGGGATTATGGATATGTGCCACTGCATCCAGAACTCTAGACCAAATCTGGGAAGGGTGGTTACTGGGGATGGAATCTAGAGGCACTTCACCCCTGAGCTATATCTCCAGCTCTCTCTCGTCTTTGAGATATGGTCTTGCTAAATTGCCAAGACTGGCCTGAAATCTGCAATCCTCCTGGCCTCAGCGTCATGAGTCACTGAAATTACAGGCATAAGCTACTCCACCAGGAGATTGATTTTAGTGACCATCTCTTGATTATCTTTCTGAACTAAAGAGAAACAATTCCTTGATTTATGTAACTATGCTTCATGCAAAAATGCTGTTTATAAGGAAAACAAACTTGGTTCTAGGTTTAGAAAATTATAAAAAGATTCTTCATCTAAGTGAATATTCTCTAGGACATTAGAAAGTAATACAAGAGTTAAGTATTTTTACCACACACACACACACACACACACACAAAAGGCAATGCAAATACTGATTTAGCTGGAGCTAATTCCATAACACATATATATATATTTTCTTTTTCTTTTGTGTACTAGGGATTGAATGCAACACAACCATTGAGCCATATCCCCAGCCCTATTTTGTATTTTATTTAGAGACAGTGTCTCTGAGTTGCTTAGGGCCTTACTTTTGCTGATGCTGGCTTTGAACTCATGATCCTCCTGCCTCTGTCTCCTGAGCTATTGGGATTACAGGTGTGTACCACCAGCCTGGCACATACATATATTTCTTTCTTTTTCTTTAATATTTTTTAGTTGTAGTTGAACACATACCTTTATTTATTTATTTTTATGTGGTGCTGAGGATTGAACCCAGGACCTCACATGTGCTAGGAGAGCACTACCTCTGAGCCACAACCCTAGCCCCACATATATATATTTCAAAGCATCATTTTATACACAATAAATATACATAATTTTGCCAATTTAAAAATTAACTTTTGGGGGGCTACTCGGGGTTGAACCCAGGAGTGCTTTACCATTGAGTTAAATCTCCAGCCCTTTTTATTTTTATTTTGAATCAGTGTTTCACTCAGCTACTGAGGCTGGCTTTGAACTTAACATCCTCCTGCCTCAGCCTCCGGAGCTGCTGGGATTATAGGTGTGTGCTGCTGTGACTGGCTCAAAAAAAAAAAAAAAAATTTTATTTAAACAGAAGTAACACAATTTTTGAAAACAATTTTTTAAACCATACAGAAATGTCCCTTACATTGTAAGATGTCTAACACCCCAGATATTTAATCCATTAAAGATCAGTGTACTCTCCCAATTATTCACACTCCCCCAAATTTCTACATTTCCCTTGGGATGATCCCAAACTCACTGAAAGTCACTAGATTAGGCTAATGACTAAAAGCAAGATCTTTAGAATGCTTGTGTTCAAAACCTAAAACTCACTAGCTGGTATGATGGTAATTAAGTAATATAATCTTTCAGTGTCTGCTTCCCGTTACTATCAATGTCATATGACTGTTAAGGAATTAGTACATTGATATGAAGTATTTTACATAAAGCGGGTCCTAAACTAAATCTTTTGCTGTATTTAGTTATTAGTATAATCATTTGCTGAATGCCTCTCCCAGTAAACTATAAGCTCCATGATGGCCAGCAGAATGCTTTTTAAAAAGTTTGGTAATTATTTAATGACACAGAAAAATAACATGTCATGAAACAAACTGATTACAGCTAGTAGGTAGACAATGACTTCACTTTTGATTAAAAAATTTAAAAATAGGGCTGGGGTTGTAGCTCAGTGGTAGGGCAGTTGCCTAGTATGGGCTCCTTAGCACCACATAAAAAACAAATAAATAAAAAATAAAGGTTAAATTCTTCAAAAAATAATAAAAAATAAAAACATACATAAACTTGAGAGGTTATAATCAAAATATGAACAGTATTACTTCTGTCCAGTGATTAAATATTCTCCCCTTCACATTTATTTATTTATTTATAGTTGTAATGGACAGCATGCCTTTATTTATTTATTTTTTCCTTAATGCGGTGCTAAGGATCAAACCCAGGGTCTCATATGTGCTAGGCAAGCACTCTGCAACTGAGCTACAGCCCCAGTCCCTTCCCTTCACTTTTGTGTATTTTTTGAAATCCAATTATTTCTGAAAGAATAACAAAAAAGGTACTGAAGACAGAAACAATTATTAAATGACAAGAGTAAGGAGTCTAAGAAGCCAAGCCAGTTTCCTAGCAATCAAGGTCAGAAACCTAAAAGAGGTCCAAACATGGTGACAACAATCAATCCTAAAGATGGAATATTATTCTTTTCTTACTGGACTGCCTTTTTTTTTTTGGTACCAAGGATTGAACTCAGCGGTGCTTAACCACTGAGCCACATCCCCAGCTCTTTTTATATTTTATTTAGAGATAGGGACTCACTAAGTTGCTTAGGGCCTTGCTAAGTTGCTGAGTCTGGCTTTGAACTCGAGATTCTCCTGCCTCAGGTATCTCAGCCACTACGATTTCAGCTGTGCGCCACCATGCCTGACTGGAATGCCATTTATCCAACTGTTTCTTCTGCATTTGATATTCTCTTTAATTACACTTAATTAATTAAATATTAATTGCAGAATACCTTTTGCTCATCATTTTGTTCCTATTACCTGACATGTTTGGTATACACTAGGTAGTTAATATCTGTTGAATAAATAAATAAAAATTAACAAAGATGTTTGGAATAGAAACAAACAATAAAAATAGGAATATATCCTTGAACAGCATTATTTTGTTATATAGCTAAGATGCTTATATAGTTTACTGTTGGAATTTACCCTTAAAATATACATACATGCAGAATATCTCTAAAAGGATTCCCAGGAAACCCATAACAGTCATTGTGGGAAAAGAACTGAGGGCCTGGGGATATGAGTTTACTTTACACTGGAGATTCTTTTGAACTTTCTAAAGATTTAAGTAGCTGGGTGTGGTGGCACATGCCTGTAATCCCAACTACAGGCAGAGGCAGGAGGATGGTGAATTCAAGGGTAGCCTTGGCAACTTAGCAAGACTCTGTCTCAAAAACAAAATTAAATTAAATTAAAAGGATTGGAAATGGGTTGGGCACAGTGGTGCATACCTGTAATCCCTGCGGCTTGGGAGGCTGAAGCAGTAGGATCATGAGTTCAAAGCCAGCCTCAGCAATTTAGTGAGGCCCTAAG